TGTACAAGACGGTTACAAGATGGTTACGTTGGACACGTGGTGCGCTTGTTTTGATATTCCGCGCATTGGACCGTTGTGCGGACGGTTATGCGAAGTAGGCTTAGAACGTGGGCAGTTATAAAACTGCCAGACGGTTTCTGTCCTAGCGGTTGGGGATGTCAACCGCAACTTGCCTGCGGGCCTATATAAAGGCCTTGAGCTGCACAGTCGCGCGTAATGAGCGATACCGCGAATTTTTGTGCATGCCTTGGCAAATTTTCCAGCGAGAGTGAAATTGTTGGTTGGGCGTGGAGCCCGTAAACATTGTTGCCTTGTTTGTTTACTTGATGCTTGTGTGTGCGTTGCTTGTTGGTGTATTGCTTAAAACACTATTCCGACTCTGTATAATCAAGTTGTGTGTTTAGTGTGAAGGTGAAAGGCTGACTGGTTGGGGTGAAAACTAGGCCGCACAGGGTGTTAAGGGTGCGAAAAATTAAGCCTCTAAGTAAGGCCTTGTGACACACGACCTGCTGGCGCCAACAACGCCCGGTGTCTCAATGCCAAGCCACGAGCCCAGTAGTGCCGATAGCGCCCAACCATTTCCAAGCAATGGTGGCCGTGCCTAGTAGCACGCCAGCGTGCGCGGTTGCCTTTGACCGTGCTCAACCATGCCAGTAGCACCCGGCAGCGCGCAGCCGCGCCTATCCGAGCGTGCGACTGTGCCCAGTAGTGCCCGGTAAGGCCCGGCAGCGCCAGGCCGAGCCCAGCAATAGACAAGTAACCGCTCTCGGGTACCAGGCCCAGCGCGGGACCGAGCCGGTTGGCCCAGGCCAGCGGCCGACCACCCGGTCGTATTAAACCGACGGTCCGGCCAGCCAGTGAACCGACCGGTCCCGACCGGTCATCTGAGCAGTTCAGGACTTAGTGACCTGGTCGGAGGACAGTCTAGAATTTCAGTTATTTTTCCAGTCAAGTTATCAGTCTAGTCAGTTCAGTATAATAATATCAATTTAGTTCAGTCATGCCAGTTGAGTTCAGTTGTAAAGTCAGTCTATGTTGAGCCTAGTTCATGTCAGTAAGTCCAGTTATGTCATCAGTTCAGTCGAGTATCTTATCCAGCTATTTTAGTAAGTCTGGGCATAACACATAGTATTTGTTTATATATGTCACAATTTGCAGATGATCAGCACTTAAATTTTCAGACCAGCAGTTCAGGTGGGGACTCAGACTGGGTATTACATTGATTATAGTTACTCAACCTTGTTTAAGGTATCTATTATCAGTCAGTATCCACTCAGAATGGTCGCCGGTCCATTCTGGGTTCTAGTGGCCCTAGTCTGCCCACTAGAGTGTACACATGGTTTCTGGCATTTTTATGCTGGCAGATGTTCAGATATCAGTCAGTTGATGATTATCAGTTCATGCTTATTCAGTACCGGTTTCAGTTCAGTTTATATATGCCAGGATCATGATATTCTTATTATTTTCACTGTTTACTTTAGTACGAGTTCCTACGGAGCACAGTGGTTTTAGTGCTCACGGCCCACATTATTCATGTTTTTCAGGTCACAGGGTCGGAGCCGAGGAGTGAGCTGGCGGTCGGTTCAGGATCTTGTTTATATTTTTAAAATGATTTGGCTACGCTACGTTTTTCTGCTGATTATGACTGTTTGCCAAACTTACCTTTTAAACTGATTTTCAGTCGTTAGTATGTTATGATAAACCGTTTTGTTTTTCTTTAAAACTAAAATAATGGTTTTTTTTCAGGTAAAGTCATGTATTATGGTAGCACTCTGAATCAGTATTTCGCAACTTAAATGTTTTTACTTTGAAAAACATTGCGAAAAATGCACTCTGATTTTCATGAAATAGCGGGGTGTTACAACTCATATAAAGTCTATTGCTTCCTTGATACTCAGAAGCACTTGTAAGGTTGTTCAAGTCATTTGACACATGGTTTGTAGCTCCTTAGTCTGGAAACCAGAGAGATTCCACATTACTGTCTGGTTGAAAACTTGAAGATGAAGGGAGTTGAGCCTTGTGTAATGTAGGATTTCTTGAAAAACTCCCTTGAAAACCAGTAGAGGATAACTGTGAACTGTTAGAGGAAGATCCACTTTTTTGCGGACTTTGAGGAGAAAAATTTGAGTCAAATCTATGCCAACACTTATCTGTTGTGTGTCCAGCTATCCAACACACTTGGCAAATGGGTTTTGGTCCTTGAAATCGACCACCTTTTCCTCTGTAACCACCTCTAAATCTTCCTCCTCTTCCTCTGTTTGAATATGCTCTTCCTCTTGTAGAGCCTTGGTTATTATTCAAATTGCCTCTATGTTGATTCTGAGCCAAATTAAGAGATGGTTGAGATCCATCTGCATTGATATTTCCAGGTGCAACATTACTAATGACTCCATTTGCTTCCAACCTGGATTCATAGCTCAATAGTAATGCTTGAACATCTACCACAGACCATGTATCCATTCTTGATGTTACTGTTATCATCACAGGATCATACTTATTTCCTAAGGCTGAGATAATATGAAGGATTTGATCTTTTTCAGATACTTTTGCTCCAACTGAGGCTAGCATATCAAAGCAACTCTTCATCTTATTAAGGAAATCTCCCATGCATAAACTACCCTTCGTCATTGTTTGCAGTTGAAGTTTGTACTGCATTTGCTTTGCTAAAGATTGGCTTGTTAAGTCTGTAGATAATGCATCCCAATCTCCTTTGAGGTTTGCAGACCAACCATTTGCACTAAAAGACTTTCTGAGAGAGAAGAGAGGAGCCATGATGCCAGAATTTTATCTTGCCTTTGATGAGAAATATATTTTGGACTGAGATTAAGAGAACCCTCTTCTCCAGCAAACTTGAGTGGTTCTTGTCCTCCAATAATAAAATGCTCTAAACCATAGCCTCTTATTGCAATGAGAGCTTGCTGCTTCCAAATAAGGTAGTTGCTCTCATCAAGTTTAGTTGTCAGAAGTTGATTTTGAGGATATATAACTTGCAATGTTGTAATTGAGGGTGGTGTAGATTGAGATGAATTTGTCTCGATTTCAGACATGATGATTGATGTTTAAAAACAAGAGAGAAATGAAAAGGTGGATCAGAAACAGGAACAACCTGCTCTGATACCATGATCGAAAATCAAATAAACAGGATTGAAAGAAAAGAAGAGCATTTCACTCAACATTATGTTGGATATATTTTTAGAATATTGAAAGGCTCGATAATCAGAGCATCTAAGTTACAATGGTTTACATATATAAGGAACCTACATCTAATAACTGAATAAGAAACTACCTATAACCACTACAAGCATGTAACCAACCAACTAAAGAAATTAATCTATAAAAGAAATAAAATCTGATAAACTAAAATGAACTGTCCATAAACGTGTGCATGGACTAGCATGTGATCATGCATGAACTCTAACACATTCCTAGAAAGAGTACACATTTGAGCAGCTAAGTACTTTCTACATAGCAGGATAAATAGGGAACCTGATCTAGAGGATTAGAATATGCTAACACAATAAATTTTGGCCTGAATCAATTTTGTTATATCCAAAATGAACTAAAAAAAGGTATGCACAATTTGAACAGTATAAATTTTCAATTTATGTTATGTAATCTTTAAATTTTTGTCTAGACCTACATAAAAACTAAGTGAAAACATAAGCTATACAACCAAAGCACACACTAAGACACATTCAATATATGCAATTCCTTAAGCTATACAACTAAAACACAAAAATACAAAATATCTAGAAATTTAAGAAAAGAAAATTAACCACAATTATATATTTTTTTTTTTTGCTTCAAATACCTGGTAACGGAGAGCCAGGATACAACACCCCAAAATGCAAAGTTGGAGCGTGCAGCTTCCATCTAGAGTCGACATCTCTTTGTGGAACTTCAGATTGAGCCATCGAATCTCCACCGGCCAGAGGCGGACGCAGACATTTAAAACTAGGGGGGCACAATATAATCCATATAAGAACAAACAAAAATGACAAACGTTACATACTGTTCTCTACGGTTTCTCATATTCTTGGTCTTTTTCTCAGACATTTCTTTCATCGTCAACACTCGTACATTTTCGATTATAATATGTCTCTATAATTAATATTACCAAATAATCATAACATTATGTTAGAACTTCGAAATGAGGGACAAGAACAAATTCCGAGCTAATTTTAAAATATTATTACAATTATAAAGATATCTAAAACAAATAATACACCAAAAAAAAAAGTGCACAACAATTAAGAAATAGCATTTAAGATGCTATTTTATCAAAATCATGAAAGCCCTAAATACAAATTTAGGGTTATAAAAATTAGAAAATAATTAAATAAAATATACCTTTTTAAATAAAAATTGATAGCTATTTGAGCAAGAAGAAATTCAAACCATTTGACTTTTGATTATTGAAAGATTTTTTTTTTTTATTTCTGCACCCAAATATTGTAATTTTGCCGTATGCAAGAAGAAGTAAAAGAAGAGGAAGCAGAGTATGAAAGAATTACGGCTCTTAATTTGCTGGCGTGGGAGGAAAAATAAAAAACCCATATTGGTAAGTATGAGCTTTTTGTACTTGGGCCCACACAAAAATTTAAAAGACAATTAAAATATATAATATATGCATACATATATATAGATTGAAAGTCCTAACACCACAGGGGCAAGTGCCCCTGCGGGCCCCTATGTGGGTCCGCCCCTGCCACCGGCTATTGTAAATGGTTGCTCTCAGAAACAATACATGAAAATGCAAAAAT